ACCAACACAACATTTGATTATTAATACTTACTGCTGAAATCCTTAGAGATTTCCTGACTGTTTACCCATTTATGACATCCAAGATGATAATAATAGATGCCATTGTCATAACATTTTTCATGAGAGTTATGTTCATGTGTATTTCCACCTTAAATTGAATAGAATGCAATAAACAATCAGATTCTTAATTTATTTGTTTATTCTTTATTGGAACCAAGCATAGTGTTTGTGTAATGCAGCATAGTGTTTGTGTAATGCAGCATAGTGTTTGTGTAATGAAGTATAGTGTTCTCTGAATACAGCATAGCGTTTGTGTAATGCAGCATATTGTTCTCTGAATACAGCATAGTGTTCAGGTAATGCAGCATAGTGTTCTCTGAATACAGCATAGTGTTTGTGTAATGCAGCATAGTGTTTGTGTAATGCAGCATAGTGTATGTGTAATGAAGTATAGTGTTCTCTGAATACAGCATAGTGTTTGTGTAATGCAGCATATTGTTCTCTGAATACAGCATAGTGTTCAGGTAATGTAGCATAGTGTTCTCTGGATACAGCATGGTGTTCAGGTAATGTAGCATAGTGTTCTCTGGATACAGCATAGTGTTTGAGTAATGCAGCATAGTGTTCTCAGAATGTAGTATAGTCTTTTATGTTCATGATATATTGGAGTAAGATTTCGGATTAACTTGTGCATAGAGTTCTAGAACATGACAGTGTTCCCTTTGTTCAATAGGAACACTAAACAAGTCATCCATTTTGAATCAGAACTTGCAGCAAATGCATGTTTAAGTGTAACATGTTGTACAATCGAGTTTAATTGCAACAAGCAAAGGCATGTCAGAGACATAGCTCTAGATCAGAATTTAGTAATACAAATTTGTTATCTGATCTGAAAAAACTTATATAATAGCTGTCTACGGATGACTGAGATCCAGGCCTTAGATGAAATAAATGTCAGATTTGGCAAAATTTTTTACATTAAGATTTTTTACATTCTATCTTTAAGCAATCTTGAAACTGATTGTCAAAAGGATGCATGTGTGTGACATGATGCTTGTATCAAGTGTGAACACGATAGCTAAGAAATGTCCTCAGAACAGCATTCATTAAAAAAAATGGCCACCAGTTGGCCATTTTGAATCTAATCTTAAAATAACAAGTCATTGTCAATGACACGTCCCCGTTCCGTTCATATTTGAGTGACATATACATTCAAAGCAGATCATGACCGAAATGCACCTGCATACGTACAACACATTGTACTAAATCTGAACAAAATCCATCCATGCATGACTGAGATCTGGTTCCGGAATTGTGAAAATACGCGATTTTAATGCATTTTCGGTCTTAAAATGGCCATCATTCAGCTATTGTTAAGCGGATCATGAAACAAA